CGCGCCAAGAGAGAGGCGCAGACTCGGAGCAACTGCCCGACCCCCCTCCTTCCATCCCTCCTCCGCTGGCCTCCAGGCGCAGCTGCTGCACCGCACCACTCTCTTAATCTTCATGGCGGCCGCGCCACACACGCTGGTGTCCGGCCTCCCTCCAGCGCTTGCGCCGCCGCCATACAGCTGATCAGCGCGCAAGCGGTGTGCGTGGGGAAGAGGCGGGGCCAGGGGAGCTATCCAATCGGGGAAGGAGGGGTGGAGTCGGGGCGGGGCGGGGGGGCGCGAGCCGGAGTGGAGGGCAAAAATTGCTTCTTTGTCCAGTGTCCCGACCAAACATCGGTCGGGACGCGGGACAAACAAGTAAATATCGGGACGTCTGGTCACCCTACCTAGTGGTGTCTACACGGGGCTTAGATCGACTTAATTACATTGCACAGGATGGGAAATTTTTCACAGTTCTGTGCGATGCAGTTAAACCAACCTAATTTTGTGAAGTAGAGCAGCCCTTAATAAGTGAGTTGTCCAGAATTAAAACAAGTGCCACTCTGTGGTATCAACAATGTAAAATGCTTTCTCCCATTTAATTTCTAGATTTATGAACTTCTACAAACATAGGCCACTGCTGGTGACTTCCTCCCACCAATTCCCCAGTAAAGAAGAATGGATTTTTTTTCCAGAGAGGTCGCTTCCCTTTATTTCCCCCCACACACACTATACTCTAAGGGGCCACCTCTTAGCAACCATCTCTCCAACCAAAGAGGGGTGAAGGCAAGATCCCTAACCATAATTCTATGTGTTAGCTATAAAAGAGGTATTATTCAAAAATTATGTGAGATTCTCCCTTCTCAGGGACTGCCTAACGTACTGCCTCAGCAGTACCAGACTCTCAGCCCAAAAAGGAGGGACTAGAACACAGATTGTGCATGTCAGAGTGTATTCTGCAGTTCATGAGTCAGTGAAGTTGCCCCTGGAAGGGTAATTTCTCCAGGGTATGTAGAACAGCTACTGTATTCAGACTAAACATCACCTATTCTTTAAAAGTATTTATATTGAGGTTTCAAATGAAAAATATAATGAACGTCACTTAAATG